AGAAATAGATGTTTGGAAGAACTTCTAAAACCAAAATTTTGGCTCAAATCATGGTTTAAAAGTAGAGTAGTTTGGAAGAGTTAAGTAAGGATCCAAAGCATAAATGAGATAACCCTTGAAAATCATGTTTTTAAACCAAAAACTTCAGTTTTGAGTTTGGATCAGCTTTTGAAAAATAAATTCAGAAAAGAATAGATTTTGAGTGTCATAGATTATATGAAAAAGATGATATCGTTTTCATCAGAAAAAGAAAGAGGTGATACTGACAAATTGAAAATGTTTGGCTGATTGCAATGAGAATAATTCTTTCATATGAAAATTACTGAAAATGATATAAGCTAATGTGATATTTAAATAAAAATAATAAAAATGATTGTTTTGTATTTTTAAATAATAAAATATATTAAAAATTAACATATTTTTTAAATATTATCATTATTGGTTTCATCTAAAAGACATCCGGTTTATTTTAGCATTGACCAACAATAATAGTAATAGTAATTTTTATTCATTTTAGCGAGAGTTTGACATCCTTCAAAAACACTTAAGCATTTTCATGTAAGTTAGGATAAAAATCTTTTCACGCATTACAAAATTACTTTTAAAAAAATAATCCAAATATCCTCAATAAGATAATTTTGAAAGGAAGAGATAAGAATATTTTTAATATAATACTACTTCCAGTCTTTAATATAAGATCCTATTTAATTTTTATTTTGATCTTAAATATAAGACTCCAATCCACTTTGTCTCTCATATATATATATATATATTTTTTCCATAGTAGCCCTTTTAACAATAATAGTTCTAATCAATACACTTGATTAGCAAAGATATTTTAGGAAAGACAATACATATTTAGAACAAATAACTAACTCAACTTACTTCTTTGACCTCTTCAAATTAATTAACTGGTTCTTATAATTAGAATTGGAGGTAGTATGTCTCGCACTTTACACTCAAAACCATGCTTTTCATCTCCAAAAGTGAAAAAATCTGGCTTATCTGTTTTTCACTCCCAAATCGTAGCTTTCAATGCATAAGTGGTTTTTTTTTTTTGGGCGGGGGGATCAGCAATTCGGCTTTCCCTTCTGAAAGCCAAACGGTCGTTTTTGTTTGGGATAATGAATATATAAGTCTTTCAACGAGTTTTTAATTAGGTTTTTATAATTTTTTTTATTTTTATCATGTGATTTATGTTCTTGTTGTTTTACTTTATTTTTAATTAAATCTGCATAGCTTTTATTCTTTATTCTATAAATAATAATATTCTATGAATAATAAATTATTATAATAATTTTATGTTAATAGTCTTTTACATTTTTAGTTAAACATATATATTATTTATTTTTTAATTCTAATCTTTATAATTATAAAATTCAAATTATAATCGTAAAATTTTTTAAAATTCGAATATAATTATAAATAATTTATAGTTAAGTACAATTGATTACTCTGATTAATTGATTCCTAAATGATTATATTAATTATTTTGTCCAATTATATAATTATTAATTTAAAAATAAAATCAGTTTTAAAGAATAAATTTAATAAATAATTTTTTTAAAACTACAAAGGACCTAATTAAAAAATAAGTAAAACTATAAGGACCTAATAAAATTAAAAAAAATAGAGAGGCCCAATTAAAAACAAGTAAAAGTAAAAGGATATGATTAAAAAAATTTTTCCAGAGATTTGACTAAAAATCGGATGAAACAATAAAAACCTAGAGATCAATTATCTTTTTTGGTTTTCACCCAAGCTTTTAACCCCAAAACCATCGTCAGTCTGTGTTTTGTGCTGTCTTTGGCTGGTTTTCAACAAATGGCGTTTAACTTTTCCCCAAACATGCACAAGTCTCTAGCTTTTAAAAAAAAGAAGTTATGGAATTGTTTGAGAGGTTTTTAAATCAATGTTAACAAATTTTAAGGCCAAGGATAAAGATGTAAAAATACTCATAAACTTTTATGCAAAGTATACTTACTACCATAAACTTTTTGAATGTACAAAAATACCCATGAACTCGTAAAAACAGAACAAAAATGAGATAACCTACGTTAATTTTATGAAAACACCCCTTACTAAAAAAAAAAAAAGATCAAAATGTAAAAATACTCAAACTTTTAACCAAAATATACCAAACATCGTATGTTTCTTTAATGGGTGCAAAAGTATCCATGAGTCCATGATCGTACAAATAAATTAATTATTTTAGTTTCAACAAAAAAAAATCAAGTTTTATTATACTATAATGATACTAATAATTTTATGGTTAATATATATGTTTAGTCTTCTAAATTTGCGTCAATTTTTCATTTGTCCAAAGTGTACGTTTAGTCTCTTAATTATAGTATTGTTGGTCTCCTTAATGAAAAATTGTGACTCAGTGAATTTAAACACCAACATAACAAAACATGCTTAAGATTTAATCATTTAATATAATATTTTTATATATTGAAAGATGGGTTGTTAATATTAAAATCAACATCATTAGGTTTTTTTAAAATATATGAATTAAAGATTAATATTTTAATATTTAATTATGAAGTTACCATTCAAATTCGTTGAATCAACATTTTCTATTAACGAGACCAATAGTGTTACTATTAAGGCATTGAAAATACACTTTATGAACCTTTTTTTTTTTAGTAAAAGAAAAAATACACTTTATGAACTTAAATGATTAAATTAAAACTTGATGCAAATTTAGAAAACCAAATACAGGTATTAACCATAAAATTATGGTTAAGGTACAAATCTGTCTTGAAAATTTTCACTTAGAAACTTTGGGTATCTAGAAAATTTTATAGTAAAATAAAATTTAATAGAATTTTTTTCTGCCAAAACTTAAAGAATTAATTTATCTACATGGTCATAAGTACTTTTACACCTACGGAAAAAAAAAAAACCATTTGGCGCACTTTAGCTAAAAATTTATAGGTACTTTTGCACCTTTACACTTCTTTGATTTGTTTGAGTAAAAGGTATTTTCATATTTTTCATGAAATTAAAGTGGGCTCGAGTGCAAAAAATAACGGTTGTTAGTAAAGTTTATCGGTTGTGTCATTTTTGCTATGTTTTTACAAGTTTATAAGTACTTTTATACCGAGAAAGCTTATGGTGATGAGTACATTTTGAGTAAAAGTTTATAGGTATTTTTACGCATTTATCCTAAGTTTAAACTAATCATTCTAATCCAATCAAGAAAATAAATTAATCATTTTAAATAAAAACATTGCTTTAATATAGATACTAAGACTGTACACATTGAAACAATGACTGGTAAGAATATCACAAATAAAATGAGAATATGAGTAATCTGCCGTGAAAATTATTATTGGTGTTTGGCGAGGGTCACTGCTCGGGCACAAGGGTAAATTTGTTAAGATTCCACTGCTAATTGTTCTTTTTTTAATTTTTTAAACTAATTTTTGCTTGATTTTCTTTTTGACGTGAAAAATAAATGCAGGTGAAATATAGCCCTACTGGACATAAGCGTAATGCAGATCATAATGTGCCCTCCTAAATTTTTAAAGATGAAAATTAAATTAAATAATGTTAAAAGGGCTAAAAATAGAAAACCGATGATTTTTCTAATTAACTATCTCAAAACTAAATATTCCCTTCATGTGGGTGTTTTAAAATACACTGTGAGTCGGACAACAACAATATGTACTGTACCATGTTATGAATTGCCCTGTTATGATACTGTTTTCCAATATTAGGATTGAACGTGGTGGAGTTTGAGTGAGATTTTATTCCATCTAGCCATAGAGCTCACGGGGTTTGTCATTTTCTTTTTTTTAAAAAAAAAAGAAAAAAAATCATAGGAAGTACGATACTGTGCCACCAAAAACATAGGGGAGTAAAGTGCACATTACAAAGTAAGAATCTATCGCATAGCTTAAGCTTATTACTGATAATGAATACTACCCCCGGTCTTTTAAAGAATGTTCTGATTCAAAATAAAAGTTTTATTTTTTTGAATTTGTCTGAGTAAATATTACTCCTCCGGTCCTTAATATAAGACCCATTTAACTAATTTGATTAGATTAAGGAAGTTAGGTAAGTTGGTTAATTATAAGAAAAGTGACACATTTTTCCTAAAACACCATAATCATCTTTCTTGATACCCCATCTCCCTCTTCTATTTGATTATAGTTGAGGGAGTATCAATAGGGGTAATTTAGAGAAAATTGATAAATATGAGAAATGGGTCTTATATTTAGGACCAAAACCAACTCAACAATTGGGTCCTATATTAAGGACCGGAGGAGTATTATTTTTCTCTATTTTGTCCCCCTCTCATTAATATTACTCTTATATATTCTCTTTTATTATTATTTTTTATTTATTACCTCTCTCATTTACTTTCTTAATAAATAAAGACAAATTTTTAAAAAAATACATTTGTCATTTATTTATTATGTTTAACTAATTTTTATTACTAATTTATTAAATGTGATTTGATTATTTAAAATTTATATATAGGAGCCGAGGCAGTATTTTAATCTAATTACTTGTTACATCTGGCATACTAGTTTGGATCAAAGATCTGGCATGCTGCTACTACTACACATATCATAAAAAAATATTTTAATCTAATAATAGGGTCAACTTATTTAGGTGAGGCGTTTGGGGAAAAGGGTTTGGGTCGGTTTCCTTTCAAGGATCATGAAGGTCAAAAGAATAACGCTGCCATTTATTTATTTATTGATTCAGGATGTAAAATTTCAATTTTTTTAAAATATAAAGTAACTATATTATGAAATAAAATAAAATTTTTAAAATACAAATTCAAGAGCAGAGTCTCGTAAAGGACTCATACAGAATAGGAAAACATAATTAAAAAATTGAATATACAGTCAAAATACTCAAGATGAGAGCACATATCAGTAGAGCCATTTTACGGAAAAACCTGGAACCAACGCATAAAACTGCAAGTGAAGGACTCTGATAATGATCCTAAAAGCTTTTGAAAAACAAAAGCAAGGAAACCCAAAAATTAAAAAAAAAAAGTATTTATTTATACATATACTTCAATTGTAAAGCAAAAGATGGAGTGATCTCAAAGGGCATTTCGCCGAATAAAGAAGAAAATCAAACAGTGCCTATCGTCATTCCATGGTTCCTGCCAATTTACTTGCGGCATTACATGAAGAACCATATATAATTTCTCTCATAAATGAAGTTTTTAATTGTAATTTTAATTAAATTTAATTCTTCTTGCCTTCTTCGCCACCATCCTCCATGTAAGCCTTCTTCCTTCTATCCGCCCTAGCAATGACGCAGCTCATCAGAAAACACGTGGCGTATATGCCGTGAATCTTCCAATTCGTCTTCGGCGGTTGCTTCAGCACCACCCTGTGAAACACCGTCACATAGTAGTGCAACCCGACGGCGAAACCCACGAATGTCTGGGTCAGGCCTACAAATTTCGAACCCGGCCCGCAATCCGTTGAGAAGACTAGGATCAGATACATCAGAAGCAGTAGGAGGTACAATACGTAACCCAGAGTTTGCAGCACCTGGAGGCAGACGTATGTGGACTGCGAAGTAGCGTGTAGAAACTTGAGGGGCTCAAGCGCTGTGATCAGCGAGACGAAACAGAGAATGGAGAAATAGATGGAGAGATAGACTTGGATGAAGATTAGGAGTCTCTGGAGAGAAAAGTAAGCTTTGATTCGATTGAAAATGAGAGAGACTAAAACCAGAGGGATCAGTAGGAAGGCGCAAGAGAGTACGGGGGCGATGGTGGGTGCGTATTTGTTGCCGACGTAGGGTTTGAACCCTTTCGTGATTTCCTTATTGGCTTTGCTAATGTAAACTCTCGAGGTGCTTGAGATTTTTGTGAGGTCTGGAATTATCGTCTGCTGAAATCTGGTCGGCAGATCTTTCAACTCTGAAACGAAATCATCGTCGTCGTCTTGCTGGATCCAACTCGGCGGCGTTTGTTTCTTGGCTTTCTGTTGTCCGGACTTCTTCTCTGCGTTCTTATTCTTAGTCGGCTTCTCAGATTCGAGCTCTACCTTTTGATCTGCTTTAACCTTGGTTTCCTTGGCGGCGGCGGATTTTGTCGTTTTGTTCTTGGCACCGCCTTCTTTCAGGAGACTCGAGGATTTTTCGCTGGAAATTGAGGTTGATTTGCTGGAGCCTTTTGATGTGGAATTCAGCTTCTTGCTCTTGGTGGTGGAATTCAGCTTCTTCACCGCAGTGTCGGCGAGGATGGTGGGTGTGGTTTTAGACGATGAATCGGAACTGACTTTGGCAAGCTTGGTCTGATTTTTGGAGGACAGGTTGGATTTGATGGTCTTGGTCTGATTCTTGAGAGAAAGACTAGGCTTGATTGGCTTGGTCTTTTTCAGGGCCGGCTCTTCATTTTGTGCCTCCAACATTCTCCTTCCCCCGGCAAACTCTTTGCTCTGAAATTGCGACTCTGAGCAGTCACTGAAACAAACAGAAACAGAGAGAAAAGAAATAACGCAGAACAGAGCCACCCTTCTGCAACCCAAGTACATTGGTGGAGCCATTTGCGACAAAGTCGAGGTAATACTGAATTGAAGATCTATAAATAAAACCTGGGCTGCAATAGGTAGACGATGATGCTACTTAATGATGAAGGAATTGGTGAGTTGTAGTGAAGAGAGAGAGGGATTATAACAAAAGTGAAGCAATGGAATTAAGAGGGGAAGGGAGTGTTAAATGCCAGAGGAAGAACCAATCACATGGCGCATGGAGACAGAGCAGAATCCTCTTAAAACGCGGTTTCTCTCTTTTCTCACTGAGCAATAATGCTGAGATGTGAGGTGTGGAGTGTGAACTTTTTTGTGCAGCGGGCATCCCATTTTATACTAATTATAATAATAATATTCTGACAATTCCTCTCATTTCTACGTAACAGTTTTAATTGCACCTTACACAGTGACTTCGTACAAGTCAATAATTTCTGTCAGTTTGGTATTCCAAACAGAAAAATGCAATGGCATCTGATTTTTTCTTCACAGTCCTGGGCTTGTTGACAAATAATTAAAGGACAAGGACTGCCAACCGACACTGTAATTAGTGGGGTAGATCTACTTCATGTATATGGAAATGGGTATATTAATTATGGTAAATTAGGCTTCAACATTACTCCCTCATCTTTGACTTTTGCTCCTCCCAATGATCCGAGGGCTCTGATTCCGACATTTGGTTATGGGATCATGGATTGGGGCTTTGACCAGTGTTCCCAAAAGATATCTTTGATAGTTGGATGCAACTATCAGCTTCCCCTAGTTTACTGTTCTTTGAGAGCATAAATTAAAAATCTATTTTTGAGTAGGTCCAAATCCAGTACACGGAAAACCAAGACCAAGAGTAAGTGATTGATTACATTGTTATTTATTTCATGGCACTGATGTTCACACAAGACTGGAATTATAGTAGTCCACAATTTTAGAGGTGGATATTTTATTCAATAGTGCCGTTTTGAGACTTGTTAACTGTGAGCTTTCCTAGGATCACTCACTCAATCCAGATCAAAGGTATATTGTTATGAGATCTTTTAGTGAGTGATCGAATCATTACTTTTGATCACATGCCTAAAAGATAGATTTTTGTGCAAATTGACTCTCTCATCAAGGACAACAGCTACATATTGAAGCCATTTTTTTTTCCAGATAATTCTCCTGCGTGGTATGGAGACTCTCTTTTGGATGATTTTTGCCATGAGCTGCATATAATTGGCTAGTCAAATCCTTTGCTGCTTATTCATGGTCTCTGTTTTTTTTTTTTTTTTAAAAGGTGGATATTTTCTTTTGACGGAAGAAGATAAAAAGATAAGGGAAAGGTGTGAAGAAAAGTAATAACGAGTGGAGTGGATAGGGTGATAGGAATTGAGGGGAGGGACTATTAGTCCATCATACTGAAATCAGATCACAATTTGGTGAGACCCACTAGCAAGGAATGGAAGTGACGCATCTGAATCAGGTGGATCTGATCTTTTGTTGTTTTTAATGAAATACAGTAAAGAGCTACTTCTCAAGACGTGATAGTAACTCACTGCTAGCTTCATAGCTCATAGGACCTAGTTTGTTTATTTCTGGATCACATTCCATGTCCATATAAATGGAAATCTTAAACCATTAACGCGAACTTTATTATTTTAATAAATTTTGAGTTTTATATATCAGCAAGTGCTTGAGGTCAAAAAAAAAAAATCAGCAAGTGGTTTACCAATTCAGAGTCCAATACTAAATATAAAAGACAGTTGGGAAGTCAAGCATTTCACACTGACTCTTCCTCTCTGTTTTTCTTCCCGTTTTCCTTCGCTCTGAGAGTGAGAGGGCACATCATAAGCATTTCCTCTCCGACTTAAAAGAGTTGGCATGACATTTTTTAGGGCAAAAAAAAAAAAAAAAAGACATCAAGTTGCACGATTTCGTAATTTGTGTATGTTATTAAAATATAGCCAATGAGGGTTCCAGCTTCCGTGTTGGGAACTGGGAGAGCTATGCATGATCCACCGACTATTTTCTTTTTTCTGTTTTTAACTTGGATGAGCAAAATACTAATAAATGTCGCATGCTTATTAGTTAATTAATACCCCAACACAATCAGCTAAAGCTCGAATGATAAAATGACTACTTGAATTTCATAAGTTCAATGAATGTTTTTTTTTGGGGGGAGGGAGGGATTAAATCCCTTCTTTCTAGAGAACTTGCCTTGTGTATATGAGCATTTGATTCTTAGATTTTCTTGCTTCAATATTCTTAGAACAACTGTCCGCATTCTACGAAACTCTTCTTCTTCCTTGCCCTGATCTGACTCTGATTTAGTAAGCCCATTTGAAAATACCAGAAGAGACAATACCTTTTTATCTATGAAGGGGCAAAAGGGATTGAATCTAAACCATGAAACTTTTTTTTTTTTTTTATATTTTTCCTGTTCCTGTTGCAGAATGAGTCATTTATGAATTGATCTCTTGGTTAACTGGTTCGGAACAACCAATTCGCTTACTTTGTTATTTTTATTCTTTTTAAGTAATTAATTTCTTACGAATCAAAAGAAAGGAAATGCATGTCTATATAGAAACTCCAAGAACTCTTAAAAAGAAGTCAGAGGATGGGAAGTCCAGTTCATGGGTATGACTTTGGAAAGCCTTCAGACCATATTTAAAACTGGAGGGTAAACGTAAAAGCACATTTTGGGGGTCATTAAGAATTGATTCTCTGGTGTCAGTGTGCATGTATCTGACCAAAGAGTTGACATTTACTTCTTGCAATATTCAATTCGGTTTACAAACTTAACAAACGCGTTTCATTGGGACTACCTATGGGTTTGACTTGCATTACTGTTCCTTTTCCTGAAATGCAAGGAGCAACCATAGAAAATCAGAAATTATCGCTTATATTCGGCCTTTGAAATGGATTTGGGGTGCCATTATTACGAAAATTTGTAAACATTAATAAAAAATTGTGATTCCTACATAATGAAGGAAGAACAAGTAAGACAATGCATATTGACATAAATAGCCAAGAATTAGAAGCAGAAAACTTTCAGCTTCATTGTATTTGGCCAACTTTAACTTTAAGGGCAGTTTATTTAAAATTAAGAAAAATATGATTTTAGTTACTTAAACATAAGGGAGTTGTCGGGGCCAGAGATGGGGCCATATGTTGAAAATAATACTCCCTCCAGTTCTCTTCATAAACAAGCTTTAAATTTAAGAAAGAGTATGATTTATTTTATAAACTTTAATTTGATTTTGTTTTAACATTTAATATTACATCCGGTCCTTAATATAAAACCTCGTTTGATTTTTATTTTGGTCCTAAATATAAAACCACAATCCATTTTGTCTCTCGTATTTATGTTTTTTTCCCAAGATAGTCCTTCTAATAATAATAGTTCTAACTAATATACTTGGTTATTAAGAATATTTTAGGAAAGATAATACCTATTTATTACAAATAATTAACTTAACTTATTTCCTTCATCTACTCAAATTAGTCAACTAACTCTTATATTTAGAACCGGAGGTAGTGTATTTTTCTCATTTCGTCCTTAATTATTTATTCTCTCTCCTCTTCTATCATATTTCCTCACATATTTTTTATCCTTTTTCTCATTTATTATAAAGGTATATTTAAAAAAAATCTACTTTACTAACTTATTTATTATTTTTAATTAATTTTAATTACTAATTTGTTAATTTATAATAAAATAAGAAGAAGTACAATCTAAGTTGAACTAGTATTCCTTATATTTTTGGCATGTCATTGAAGTCTCGCTTGATAGGACTAATGACTCCATTTCGTACCTCGTTTGTTTTCTCATGGGATGGGACAGTAAAAGGGATCCGCGAGAGATGAAAATAATGGGGGAGGGGGCACCACACCATAAATGATAATAATGGACGGATAAAAGAGGGAATGATAACCATATCACACTATGCCTTGTCTTTTTCTTGCCTTTTTGACACTGCAGAATGCAGATCATCCAATTCCAGCAGCCTCTGCCTCTTCACGGGATGTGTTTTTTGTTTCCGCATGGGACAACGGACTTCAGATAAACTCGGAGGAACAAAACATAATTGAGAGTACCCTGCGATGAGATTAAAATAAAATAATGAGTTTTTTTTTATAAAAAAAATTTTCTATCACACTACTCATTTTTCCGAAGAAAAAGAACATTGGGGTGAGAGAGGCTCGAACTCTCGACCTCAGGATCACTCAACAAGCTATGAGACCTACGCGCTAGCCAACTGCGCCACCACCCCTTGGTGCTATCCTCTTCTTCCCAATAGTAAAGTATAGTCTACCTGAAGGGAAACGCGAATTCCAATTCATTGCCAATACAAAATTGTTCTAATTACAGGGGTGACAGCATGAAATGAAAAATGCTATATGACCATCGAGTGAGTGGTGTAACAGATGAAACACCCATTTAGACTGCCTCACCTAATTGGTCTAAATGAAGCTCCAAATTTCTATTCCGCTAGATTAGCGAATGTCAGCTGTCGAGATAACAAATACTTCTCATCACTATCATCCATTTCAGGTCTCTGTTCAGTGTCACCATTCACCCCATTTGATTCAGAAATATGAATCTTACGCCATTCCTCTGCTACTCCCTTTTCTTCATCATCATCATCTTCTTCTTCGAGCCTCAGCATTTCTGATTCAACCAAAGCAACCATTCTGGCTCGCTCTCTGTCCCTCGGGTACGTACAGTAAAGGAAGGAGTAGATAAAGCAGCAAACTGCCATGGGAATACCAATTGCAGTATACAGAGCTTTCGCCAGCGAAGCAGCATTTTCCCTGTCTGTCTCAACCTCGACAGAGTCCGAGGTTCCTTTCGGGATTGGTCTGAAACCATACACATGCTGAGCCAAAATCCCAACAATAAATGGAGCAAAAGACGCCAACACAGACTCGAACGATCGATCCAAAGCATAAATACACGTCCGGGACTTCTCAGGCACTATTTCTGCAAATATGGGACTGTTCACAGTGTTATGTCAACAAATCAAACCAAACACCTCTCTCTCTCTATCTGTGGAAGAGAAATATACTTACTTGTTAGTTGCAGAACCATTCCAAGATATAGACAATCCCATGATGAACAGGACGAGTCCATGCAAGAAGGCGGTGGAAGGATCATCAGGCAAACCCAGCAACAAAATCGCAGCCAAAGGAATGGCCGAACCAGAGCTTATTTGAGACAGCATTATTCTTCCAGAGTTTGGTAATCGTTGTGATAAGATATCCCCCATTTTGCCTCCAAACAGAGCCCCAAGAGAACCAGCAAGCACAAACAGAGTCCAAAGCAAAGCAGTTTTCACATGGGAGAAGCCAATGAGTTCCAACCAGAGAGTCGCAAATGACAAGGCTGACCAAGGGAAGGAACCTGAAATCCCCTGAGCAACAATTATCTGAAACGACGGAATCCCGATAACTGCCTTTGCTTCTTTGATCATATCTTTCATTTCAGAACAAAACGATTTTG